AAATATTATGTTTATAATTTGTGCATAAAAACTAATAATCAGAACAATCGATGCAAAATTATGAAAACAAATATTATTTCAGAATAATTATAATATTAGATCACGCGCACAATGTATTACGAGTATATAATAAATTAATACATTTTAACATAGATATATTAAATGTAGATAATTAAAAAAAGACAAATATATTTTATTCCAATAGATAAAACTGAAATTTATTATTATGACTTATAAAACAAATGATTTTATAATAAAAAAATTAAAGAAGTCTATCATTATTTCTGTAAACGAATAATTTGTCCAAAATATTTTTAAAACAGTAGATACATTGCTGTTAACTAACACTTATAAATATTACTCTGCCTAAAAATGATTTATTTACATATTATTATTGCAATATGAAGTCCAATTATTGAAATTTGTAAGATAGTGGGTTTTACAAGAAACTGATTTTTATCTAGTTTTATATCACTCTCCTAAAGCTAATAACTGCCGTTTATTATTTGCTTTTAATTTGTCCGTAAGGGGATGGACTAAACGATTTGGGGAGGAAATCGTTTATTCCCTCCCTAAACACACGCCACGTTCATTTAATATCTACAATTAAGACGATACGTAAATACGCAATATATGTATAATATTATAATATAGTATAGTTAAGTGAGACTAAGACAATATTATATTATACAATCAAGTAATTTTATCGATGTGGTCGGGTATAATTACAGTCTCATGATGATAATATAATTATAATTTTAGTACCTACCATATGTAACTTATCTATAACATTAACATACAATCTAGGTCAAAATGGTTTTATAGGTATTTGTTGGCGAAAAATACAAAAACCATAGAAGGGCCCACACTCTCTGTCCCCACATAATTTAACTTACATATTTTGGTCTGTTATTGTTTGTCATTACTCATTAATATTAAGTAAACTTTAGAGTACCGAATGAACTACGTACATTAAATTAATAAACACACATGTATAATAAATGTGTAATATTCGTAAATAATAATCGAAGTAAAAGGTGACAAAATTAATTAATTGTTAATCATTTCACTACACAATGAAAGAAAAATATTATCAAATACATCATGCAATTATTATATACGGCTTTTATTTTTTTCTTTCAGTGATCAATTATCAATATATTTTTAGTCACCACTTGCAAATTAACAATAATAATATAGTTTTTATTTTAAATTGTAATATAATAGTGGGGTACCGGGTACCTACTTAGTACTTACTTATATAAATATTATAATAACATTATTAATTTATAATTTTATTAATTAATTCATAATGTAAAATAAGTATAATTTACGACTATAGAGATAACAAATATTTATTGCAAATGACAATCGTGAAATTAGTATCATACAAAATGCACAGCGTTCGTTCTAAAATCATTATTTGGGGTTTGTATGCGTATATCGACTTGCAGTAGAGAGTAGAGCCATTATAGGTATGTCCACAATCTTCTCCAAAAATTAAAAAGCAAAACGCATGTCAGTATTAATTATTATAATATCATAAATCCATGGGTGTCCTATAGTAAGGATTTATGGCACCTTTTTTTTGTCCATGGTCCAATCATGTATTCGGTGACTTTATGTGAAGACTGCGTTTAGGGTTTTATTGGTATAAAACGCATACGGCACGACTCCGGGGTACAAGACGTGTACAAATCATCGTTGGTAAAATATTTAATTAGTTGAAGTCATTTCAACGGCTCATAGTTAAGTCCAAATATTTCGGTATGAGTTGGCGCTACATATGTAACCGGTGTATGATAAATATCACCATCGTAATATAAACCCCGTACTACCCATCGATCTGATATATAATTCGTAAAAGTGTAAAACATTATGTTATTATATTATTATATGATATATCATCTGCAGTGGATTACTGACGAAAAACAACAAGTGACGACGCACGTGTCGAGTACATAATATATGGGTATATTAAGGAATGAAAATATATAACAGCCAATAGCTAGTAATATAAAATATTATTATATGTTATGCACACATTTCGTCGACTTAAAATTTATGGCGAGAAAAGGAAAAAAGTTAAAAATCCGTGTATATTAAAAGCGGACTAAGATCGAAAATATTTTATTTTTTTTTTAAAACCGGTAACGGCGTGATTATTTTACATTATGTTACTATATAATATACCAAGCCAGAGTACCTACATAGGTAATGGCTAAGGGGACAATTGAACGGGCGAAGCGGGAGGGTCGTGTTGTGGCGGTGTCATAAAATAATAGCTTTTAGTGCATCTCACACACACGCGGGCACACAAACATAATAATAATATATGTGATACATTTATTATAATACATGGACATCATATACATATATATCGGTCAAGCTCGATCGGCGGTTGCAGTCGGTTTAGTAATAATAATAATAATAATAATAAATAATAATATTTATACCTACATATATAGTCGTTATACGACGACGTGTCGGCGGCGGTCCGTTTGTACGATGATAATAATAATATGTACCGGCTATACCTATAATGTTATACCGTTTTATTGGTGCCGCCGATCCGCGAGCTAAGGCGATATTATACATATTATATTATTATATTCTTGGGGCAAACTCGGGCGCGAACGGGTCCGGTACGTGACTTTGAATAAATTTCGGCAATATTGCCGCCGCCGCTCTCCAAGTATTATATTATTATTATTATTATTATATAGGTACGGTCGTAAATACGACGCCGCCACCGCGGTGTATGTTAATTTTAGTGCAGCCCGGTTTTACGCACTCAGAGTCTACGATGCTTATAAGTAATAAGTATAGCGTCTCCGTCGTGCCCGTTGTATTATTTAAACGGGAGCCGAGGACCAAGTCCCCTAAGCCGATTCTGCCTCTGTATCGGCATTACTGTAATTTCGTTATAATATTATATATTTTGCAACAAAATCCTATTTCGACACATTACGATATTATAATTTATTTAGATATGGTACAATAATATTATATAGGTAGGTACTTGTCATTTCTTAGTCTTTACCACTTACCCACAGGGAACTATCGGGCAGATTTAACGGTTGTTTAATATACTACCTCCATATTATCTTCCTCAGAAGTCACGAGTACTTCACCTCGTTTACTATGTCTATTACTTTAGTATTGTACAATATAGAGTTCCGTGCTGGTAAACTCGATATTATAGTAAAATATTATATTTATATAAAATTACGAAAAATAGATACATATATATTGTACATAGGTATGTATACTATATCAAACGAAAAACTTGATTTTTAACTCAATTTACTGTTGCATATTGTTCGGGAACCCGTCGTTCAACATCCACGGGTAGGGTTTTATATCGTTTGGGCATAATATTCTGATGTACAGCCTTTCGGAGACGCTTTTGGCGAGAGCCACGGATACCAACCGTATATATTTTATACGTCATGCACCGTCTCGCCGCACGGACACACATAATAATATTATAATACTTTGTACACGCAGTTTCGAGTGTGTGGGTGTATAGAACGGAGTACAATAATATTACAATGATAATAATATAATCACAACAGGTGTCGCTTCCACTTCACCATCGGATGGGGAAGTGATAGGGGGGGAAGCACACAGGAAGAACGTGCTCGATTGGAATTCCCGAGGATTTTCCGACGACCGAAATTACCCGGTGTCATCGGAACAGAAGGGTACTTACACACGCACGCACTCACGCACACGTACATTTATTATATTATGCTCTTTGATGTATCACTCGCGGTTCGATTGTATAAAACACACCGCTACCGGGATTTAAACAAATTGTAATACCTATATATTATTGTTTTTGGGAATCGGGAGTGGGCCGAAGTCGAGTGTGAGTACCTATATAATATATTAGGTCGTACCTACCTACCTAGGTACGTGTACATACCTGATAATATGTCGAGTGATGGAACGCACGGTACTCGTGTCGTATTTATAATGAATACGTTGCTTTCTTGTCCGTCCAACAGACGTCGTGCGCGCAGCATACAACACTTTACACTTAACACAAAAATATCGGCTATACCTATATGAAATATAATCGCCAATATCGCGTACCCTCCTCCTGACTACAAGGACCAGCTGTTGTACGAGTTCTAGGCCTGAATCCTTTGTAGACTGTAGAGGAAAGACGTAAGAGTTTTGGTAGGAACGTGATTCGTAAGCTGGGAATTCTAAGTGGCCATATAGATGCCCCAAGTCTTTTAGAAAGACGTCCATTGCATTGAATCATACTTTGTACATCGAGAGAAAAATTGTCCACTTTAACGAGTTTCGGTAAACCCGTTCCTCGGAGTTGTTGGTTGGATATTAGATTGAGGAATTTTTAAGTCGATTTTAAATTAAATGTTTATAAATATTTTTTATAAATGTTTATTTATATTTTATAGGTCCTGAGGTGTAGATATCTAGACTCTTGTGCTCTGTTGAAAATATTTCAATTTAAAAATTTGGATATGGGTAGAGTCTAATTTTGTCGACCTCCATGAAGTATATTATATTGTCAACATAGGGACTCATTCTGAAGCGCCTCTACACTCAGCTCCAGTCACGTTGTGATAAGTTTGATCCCCATGTTGGACCGGAGTAAGTGAGATTAGGAGATTTGTGTAGTTTATGTGGATTTAGATTTTGTTTCTAAATAAAACTATATACGCATAAATCCACAATACAAAACTACTGCATTTGAAATCGTCTAAAAAATTAGAGTTCTTTAAGAATTTACTTTCTCGGACAAAGTACATATACCTACTCCTCCTTGGTCTCTAGGTGTGCACCACCTCAGATTCGAAAATTAGATTAAAATAAGATCAACCGGATGGCACACTTGTGCACACGCCTATGCATATAGAGGCCATAATATAGCCGTTTTTCGAGCAATAGCAACATTTTATTATAATGTAATAGTAATTATCATGGTAAAGTTTATTTAACGGTTTTTTTTGTGTTTGTTGCAGACTTTTGGACAGTATAAAAATGCCGAGCAGTCAAACGCGACCGTCTGGTTTCCACATATGTGACATACTGGACTTGAACGACGGAAAAGTCAACTCCACCGACAACGCGAACACGACTCTGAGTTCCCATATCAACGGTAAGATTCTTAAAATTTATGACCTGCAGATACAAAAGTGTTTAATATTTCATATTATCGTCGATCTCGTATCGGATATATTAACTCGACTTACCTCTCGTGTATTGTATACAGATTCTCGAGAAAAGAAAACCTTTTTACCGTTTTTTTCTTTTTTTTGTTTCCGACAGCTCCCGACGTGCACAATGTGAGCACGGGCTTCACGTTTCCCAGCGTCCTGCAATCTTCCGCAGACCTGTTACACCACTGGCCCACGTCGCTCACCGAACTCAGAGGTAAGAACGAAATAAAATATCCGCATATCACAGTAATTCAGTTTGATGTTTATAATATCATGGGCTAGGTGTATAATATAATTACAACGTCCAAAAATGCTGATTTTAATATATAATATTATAATATACTTCGTGCGTTTTTTACGCCATCGACATGACAAAAAAGATATAATGTAAGGCATTGGCGTCCGTGACTTTACGGTGTGTTGCTATCAAGTAGAATTAGAATTGATTTTGGTTGGTTTGTGGGCACACAATATATTTTACGTGTGGCCAACGGACGAGGAGAGCATAATATTATAATATTTTTACCATAGTATTCTGTGCTACCAATCATTGTATCATGGTGATACATACCGACCATGTAAAACATTTGATTATGAATAGGATTGGTGGTGATATAGACGAAGCCACGTAGGTACCTATATATTATTATCATACGCACTTCTCGAACCTATATTACCTACGTATATACACAATATATAGAGATCTATTTCCGACGACAATAGACACCAACACTCGACACTGTAAAATGTAATACACTAGGTACCCATGTAATGTAATACTATGTCTCTACAATATGAAATTAATGAAATTATAATAATAATAAAATATTGCGTACAGGCCGAGTGCCGCTGGTAGGTATGTTATATTGTTATATGGGTAGGTACCTACAATACGTCGCGTCCTAATAATGGCGGTCGGACAGACGTTAAAATTTAAACCCGTTATAATATTATGCCGTCCCCGATGGAGAGCTCGCGAAAAGGGCGGCGGCTTTGTCGGCCGTGACGGTGTGGCGCTCGCGGGGAGGTGTATACAAATTAAATGCATAGGCTCCCCCCGTCGTCGTATCGTACTCACCCCGGATGTATTATACGTGTACCTATATATATAGTATATATATACGCGCTTATATATTATATAATATACGCGAGACTCGTGTACCCAAAGCTCCCGGTCGCCTCTAAGTGGATTAAAACGCGCTCCCTCCCGGTGCGAGCAACAGATTTACAGCGGATTTTCCCTGCCGTTTAGCGCGCCGCAGCCGACAATGGTTTTTATTAAAAACCCAAGTATATCATATACGTAGGTATACACTTGCATGCGTGCCTGTGTGTGTTTGTGTGCACACAATATATATATATATATATATGCCGAGGGCTTATTGTGTACATGTGGGGGCTGTAGTGCTCTCTAGTTTTCGACCGTTATTATCGAACGCGGCTCGCTCGCTCTTTACGCTACGAAACTCCAAACGGCCCGCTGTTCGCGATGGTATATATCCGGCAGGATTTGAAGAAAATAAAATATCAGACTCGCCAGTATTATTATTACCTATATATTATATATTATGTCAAGAAGCTTTCCGTACACGATTTCCGAGCAAATATTATCATGACAGTTGCCAATATACATAAAACAAGAAAACCACACCATAGTTTCGATATAAACCGTTCCACATTTTAATATAATTGTGCCTAATATTAAAATGTTTCACGATTTCTGAATCGATTCCCGGATGACCGATCAGCTTTAGGGAGTTTCACAAGAATAAAATGTTTAACCGAATACCTATATGTACCTACTTATAAGTGTACCTATGCGTAAGTAATACTTTGAAGTTGTATACACTCCATATTATATACCTACTCGTAGATACATCTGCAGTATGGCCTAAGATGGAAATTATAGTTATCAATCTATTTTATCTAAAAGTATAGTAGGAGAGCAAATTTCACTTTTCTACCCCTCCGATGATATAGGTAGTAAGTTTCAATAATAAACCTACTATCTACACGTCGCTTGTAAACAATATATTATACATAGCAGTCCTTAAAGTTTTTTCTCATTGAAATTATAGCAATAGATATAACTATAATATAACTATATAGATATTACTATACATACTAGCAACACTTTAAGTGTATAGGTACCTATTACAATATTAATATTTTAATGACAAATTAGTGATGAAATAAAACACACAAAGAACATTAATATTCAAGCATAATATAACGATTTAACTTTGAAAAATGTGTCGTAATATTCAATGAATTAGAGTTTAAAACAGAAAGGGGGGGACAAAAACGATATATTTCCACCACTGTTCTCTATATATATAATTCCAGGGGGGAAACTTCCTCTGTTGCCGCTGCCCAATGTAGACTATACGTCTTTGACCGGAATCGTCTCGCAGTGCCTATTACGAGTGTGTGTCACCGATTCGGACATTTCGAGACCTTCTGCCCTTTTTCCCCCCAGATTAAACGATAATTAACCTCTGAGATATTTATCGTTGCTTACCGATCAAAATCGGCGAACAGCTGCAGCTGCGGTATCGTATCATCGCGACTTAGCGATTATATTCCAAAAATTCGGCGTTTTCCAAAGAGCGGGCGTATCGCAGCCCACACTATTATAATATAATAATACTAATGCATAATAACATTATAACGACGATAATCGTCGCCGTCGCGTCTTATCGGCGAAAAGACGTGGCAAAAAAACGTAATATAATATGCACGTACGGCGTGACATTCCGTTGTTGTGTAGGTAATAATATAACGTCAGAACGGATATTGTACGAGTCAGTATTGTAACTTGTAGGACGCATAGGTACACGCCGCACGTACAGGACAAACTGCAATTTGAGGAAAACTGTACGGAGGTTGGCTTTTGTGCGTTCCTGACAAATAACATGTATTATTACTGTTGTTGTCGTTGTTGTTAACATACAATATATTATTATTATATTACGCCGAGCACAATGCTAATGCGGTAAACTCGCGCGGCCGTATAATAATTTAAACAGATTGTCCGGCCGCCCGCGCGAGTCTGTCGCGAGCGCGCGCCCACAGCGCCCAAATACGTTTCGTATGACGTTTTAAAAACTCGTGTCGAACATCTGCGACACGATAATGTCATACATCATATTATACCTAACATATTATGCCATTATACAATACTTGCGTATCATCGGTGTGAGATAGGTGTGTGTATGAATGTATTTTATTGTAATATTATACACGCGCGCCCGGGCGAGAGACAGAAGAGAAGTGTGAGAGAGACAGAGAATTAGAGAGTTGACGAGAGGGTGAGAGAGAGAGAGTGGCTGAGAGACGATCGGCTCGAATGTGCGCGATGCGGTGTGTACAAAACTGGGTGGAGTTTGGCGACAAAAGGGCGTGACACGACGGCCGTTCAAAGGTGACCATTGTGCGAATTACACGGGGGCTTAGACGCACAAAAAGAAGAAAAAAATTAATATAATATATATATGATATTATATAGAATCTCAGCGAGGGGAAGTACATAACATGTACGCAATATGCGTTTTTATAACAAGGGGGACGGTTTGGGGTATTTTTTTTAAACTAAACAACATCAATAGGTACACGGATAATCTGACGACGGTCTCGTGTATATGATATATGTATATAATAGTATGTACATACATGTTATAACAAAAGAACGGACAAAATGGTTGCTGGCGGCCCCCGTCTGCTATTCACATATTATTTATTATATTATTATAGGTAGAGGCGCGCATACCGCGTCACGTCATATATAATATAATAAAATATATAGGAACATCAATTGTTTCGCCCTACCACACGTACGCCGTCTATTATACATAATATAATATAACATATGAAATTACAATATAATAATATACAGAGAAAGAGAGCTGGGAGAAGACGAGGAACTTAAGAAAAACGATCGACACGGGATTGTATTATATAATAGTAGTAATAACAAAATAATACATACCTCCTTATGCGATCGGAATGATATTAGAGACCGGTCGCTGCCGGGTGAGGCAGATGCGCTGCGACAGGAATCACGGTGACAATACGATTGGCGTGTAAACGATTAGTGTTTAACGACTTTTCCGTTGTACGAATGACAGTGCACACGCTGCTACTGCAGGGGTGGCTGTAAAGGGGATCCGGCGTGTAACCGATACCGTGGTTAAGTGGAGACCGGTGGCGATGACCGTAATCTATACTGCAGTCTCTTCTACGATGTACCTATGTATATTAATAATAATTCTCGCCATCGTATATACACTTACGTGTTTCGTATAGTTATCCGGTTTATGTATTAAAGCCAGTTCATTTAAGGTGTTGATGGGCAGCCAATATTTCACTATCGCCATCGTGCTAGTAATTTAATAGGTATAAGCCCCGGATAGGGTCCACCAAATTTGCTTAGGTTATCCAAAAATGATCAAAATTTGGAATCAACCCAAACTCTGGTAGAATCGAACCACTTTGAGTCATCTCAAACGTCGTATACTAATACACAATAATAAGCATTCGAGTTTAAAACAAATAACTACAAATGTTTAAAATATTTGTAACTGTTTCGAAAGATAACATAGATTCAATATTATATGCTAAACGCATCGAAGTTGCTTCGAAACCGACCGAATAAACGGCGCGGCGCCTTTAACGTATTTTTTGAAGAGCGGAAACCCAGGATAAGAGTAAAATGGTTTTATGTTCTTATTTCTTTATTTCGACGTTTACTTTTTTCAAATATTAATGTTCTATGATTAATACATTTAAATTACCTAAAATGTATATTATATTTTAGAGTAAAATAGTTTTGTTCCCCGCTGTTATTGCTGTATCAATAACACAATAATAAGCATGATACAAAAATATAATGTACCTAATAACCGTATTTTGTGTTTAATACAACATGCGTACAATATTAACAAACGGGTTTTTTTGTGTCTTAGGGTTCGGATTGAGCCATCACGGGGCTCAGCAAGCCAGTCCGGACAGCACGTCTCCAGGAGTGACGGACCTGACGGACACGTCGAGCACGCCTAGCGCACTGGCGGCTGACACTTCGAACGCGAACGCGAACGGCGGCGTAGTCGGCGGGCCAGGTCCCGGGGCTGGCGCCGGCGCCAAGGACGAACCGTCTGAGGCGGACGGCGAAGAGATGGACGACGATTTCGACGACGAGTCGGGAGCGGCGGGCGGCGAACACGACCGGTCCGGTTCGTCCGGGGCCGGCGGTCACCCATCCGACGTTAACGGAGCCGGCGGCGGCGGGGCCGGGGCTGTGCACAAGAAACGTAAGCGCCGCGTCCTGTTCAGCAAGGCACAGACGTACGAGCTGGAGCGCAGGTTCCGGCAACAAAGGTACCTGTCGGCTCCCGAACGTGAACACTTGGCTTCAATCATCCGGCTGACTCCCACGCAGGTTTGTTTTTCATGTTTCGAATTAAATAATAATATTATTATAAGCTCGTACCAACGTCATAATAAAATATTATGCATTTATGATTGACATTTGTATTATTAGTGCGTACAGTAACTATATGTAATTAGAGAAAGGACTTTCGACGATTAAATAATTAATTTTTTAGTTAATTATATATATATCACATTATGTTGATGATAGTGTATATATACAAGGCAAAATTCATCTTTATTATAAAATCTATTGCAAATACTTAATTTTTGCTAAGAATAAAAGAATTCGCATTATAATAACGAATATTTTGATATAGTAAACTCATTTCCCACATTTTGTCACTTACTGCCTTACTGCTAAATAGGGGAGTTATATAATTATGTAATATAATTTAATTTTCTCATAACAATATTATAAAATATCAAAAACTGGTCGCAGTCGCACAGACCGCATGTTGTATATTTTATGATACATAAAATGGCGTTAAATTCGTTCCGTTTTTCGCAAACTGTCTATAGCAAATTGGCAACATAATTGTGATGCTGCTCGCTGAAAAATTCTATTAGATTTATATTATACGCGTGTGTGACAAAAGTCAAGCGGGAACGGTGATTTTCGTACGTTGTTGTGAAAACGATAAGGGGTGTACAACGAAAACTGCAAAGGGTAACACCCGAGCTGGTACATAAACGGGCACACACCCTCATATCGTTTTGAGATTTTTATTTGAAAAAGGCCTCTTATAGCATCAGCATAATTTCAGGGTTCGATAACTCTATCCAATGTTGACGTCTGGGTTGCCCGAAATAAATAATAATATATTAATTTTGTCTGATATTTTTTCCCTTTTTTGTCAGTATATTTATAACAGTATAATAATTATAATACATCAATAAAATAGTAAAATACATACATGAATATAAAGTCTGTCTCACTATCGTCTATAAAAAAGAAACACTATTAATTAATATTAAATTATACCTTATATCTTTTTTTTGAAAAATAGCCGAAACACAAACATTACATCGTAAGTAGGTATTCTGTAGAAGGTGGTAATCGCAAGTTAAGATTGTTGTTATAGTTGGAAATAAAATACAAATAATATTATTACTATAATTATGCAATGATGACGTCTACTGGCGCGTCCCGGGCCCCCTAATTCCCCACATAGGTAGTCCCCGCTCAAGAGGTTACCGATCGCCGCTATATACCATCCGCTGTGCAGCTCGTCACACAACAACCGGACTGACTTTCCCGTTCATTGTTTCAGGTGAAAATCTGGTTCCAGAACCACAGGTACAAGACGAAACGGGCGCAACAGGAGAAGGGCATGCACGTGGAACATCACGCGGCGGCCGCGGCCAACGCTCTGTCTTCGCCGAGGCGGGTCGCCGTGCCCGTGCTGGTCCGGGACGGCAAGCCGTGCACCAACCAGCAGCCTGGCGCCGGCGGCAAGGCCGAACAGATGGTGCTACCGTCGTACTCGCATCCGCTGATGCACGGCCAGACGCCCAGAACGTGGTGGTAGTTGATGATGCATACCACGACCGCGGTATATAATAATATTATATTATAGTGTGTGGCCATCGCGACGGCCAGTATTGTCTTCCTATGTAAAAATAATAATTATGTGTATCGTACATATATGATATATTTCATAATATTATGTTCAAAAACCTATTATAGGTAGGTACCTACCTGTCAAAAAAATGTAAATCTTCCGACAGCCTTTATATTGTACACCTATTACATATTCTATCATAATTTAATATTATTGTGAGTAAAATATTCGAATACGCGAACTTGGGGTTGGCCAAGTGACGGGTGACGATACTTATCGAAAAGCTGATCGATGTGTAATATAAATATATGTATATATATAATATATATATATATATGAATAATATTACCGTTGGCGTGTGGATATCACATCCACATTATTATTATAATGTAATCGCTACATCGATTGCTCGAAAATATTACTATTATGCACGTGACGTGCCTCGACCGCAGTGAACTCTTGATTTGTATACTATTATAATTATAGTATATTATACATTTATGAACAGGGCGTTTAATTAGGAAAGTCATAGGACTTAGCGAATCGAATGAGAATAAAACAAAAACAAATCTGATTTTTAAATTGTCCTATATATATATATATATTATGAACAACATATATGTACATATATACCTCGGCTAATAATAATAATAACAATTAAAATAATATAATATTATGTGGCATTAATGTGTTTAAATAGATTTGTTCGGTCCCTATCGTGAGCGAGGTTTCATCCGGAACTTCCGGAGCGATCACCCGCTGTGACTGTGTCCCCCTCCCTCTTTTTTTAAAAATAAATATTTATATTATATTATTAACGATATTTTATCGATCGAAAATACAGTAGAGCATAGCGTACGCATGTATATTAATAATATTATTCGGAAATAACTACTATACAATGTCCATTTGTAAAAAATTTAAAAAAATTCTTAGGCTAATTGTATTATTATTATTATATTATTATTTATTTATTATTATTATTATTATATTACTTTAATAAGAGTTTAAAAAAACAAAAGACTAGTCATTACGTGTATTTTATTTGTTTATAAATTTTTATTGTTAGAACGTTATATACGCGCCGACGGGTTGCATATTATATTGTAATTTTTGTAATTTTTAAGTTGTACATAGGCGAAATCGAAAAACACATAATTATTATGTTTTTTTTTTTTTGAAAAATGTTATTCGAAATACAAAACAAATACGAATGTATTAAAAAATTTACTTGATCATTATATAGATAAATAAATAATTGTTACGATATATATATATAATATACCAATGGTGTAGTTATTTATTTCGACCATATATCCCAACAAATAACGACTTTACAGATTTTGCTCTGCAGAAATGAGTTCGATCGATGATCAGTGTAGATGATATTCGTCGATCCATAGGGGTGCAGAATCTAGTGAGCTGGGGCTTGGGCTGGAGCAAAGGCTCTCTGGAGAAAGATAAATTGGATCGCGTTGCGGGTCACCGGAAACGCGGTAGCGGTATGGAAACCGCGTTTGTGGTACAAAATTAACAATAATAATATTACGAACTGAGTGCCTCGACTCGCGCGGTACCATGAATAATCATAATGGTATTATTTTGAGTTATGACGTCTCGTGCACTGTATTAATTTCACATCGACGGTGATGGCGGCAGACAAAACACATAACGACGGTGATAATGATGTGACGCAATAACCGTACGGATAATATAATATGATATAATTATTATTATTAGTATCAGTACCTACAATATTAGGTACTATTATAATATTATATTATGGAGAAGAGCGCCGTGGGGCCTCGCCTTGTTGACAAATCTGCACGCCTTTTTATCGATCGGTTTGTACACACACACACATTAACATATTATTTTGTTATGACTTATGATATATATATATATATATTATGTGCCTTGTGCCTATATACACATATTATAATAATATGTAGATAACAAAATATATAATATTATAGAGAAACGATATAGAGGTAAGTATAATAATACCTACACACCTACAATGATCTACCCGCGCGATATTATATATTTTTTTTTTTTTTATTTAAAGGCATCAACTGCAAGGTTATTAGCCTAATATTATATTTTATTGTATAATATTATTATAATACTGTTTAGTGAAACGAAGAAAAAACCAATAATAATAATTATTATTACCGATGCGCGTGTTTGCGTTACGGATGCCGCCGAGTCGGTCGTGCTCGTATTATTATTTGTACGAGTTTACGACGACGACGATTTCGTGAGCGATCGGACTATTTTTCACGTTCATAAAAAATTAAAAAACAATAATAATATATATATATATATATATATATATATATATACACACACATATTATAACCGATTTCTCTTATCTGACACTACCGCGCGTTATCACGGGCAAACAAAACCGTGTCAATAAAATAGCGCCGCCGCAGCTCGTATATCATAGTGTATACGATATATAGGTACCTGTTATGCGTGCGTGTAATATTATTATTGTACAATATAAATGATTTGTATAATATTTGTTCGGAAAAATATATCGATCACTGTTTAAACACGTTCGATCTAGGATCGACGCACGTGCGTCAGACGTGTCGCCGATGCCGCCACAGATATATTATTATATGTATATATAGCTTATGGTAGGCACCCGATATTGTAGACAGTCTTGCTGCCAAGTATTGTAAAATAGTTACTTCTTAAAAGTGTTCAAGTATACAGATACTTACTTACTTTGAAAAGTATTGAAAATGAAAATACGTATTTGAATATACTCGGTGAAAAGAGTCATCGAGTTGACAAATACAAATACCTATATACTTTGAAAAAGTATGTGTATACAATATACTTTAAAATGCTTTAAATTTTTTTATAATCATATTTACTATACAATGACTATATGATTTTTTTGTCAAACTATTAGAATTATCGGTCGAACATAATATTTATTCACAGTAAAAAAATATATTACCTATTAAAATTGTTTTAAATTTTATTTCAAGTTATTAAAACCAAAATTAAAATAGAAAATATATAAAATAAATACAATGAATATTTGATTTTAAATTTCAGATACTTCGAGAATGTATTTAAAATACTTATTTGAGTACTTAAAAAGTATTCGAATACTTTTACACAAATTATTTTACTCAAGTAGGTACTTTACAAGTTCACACACTCGATGTATAATATTATAACTATATATAAGTTACCTATATTTTAAGTTATTGATGTGTATATTGCATTATACGGATTGTGTTTTGCGGATTTCGATCGGATGATAGCAATCTGAAAATCCAAAGTTATAAATCGAATCATTATTATTTTATAATATTATCAAGACCAATGCGTTCGGCGAAGGTGAATTTTTGGAGTTGACGAATCATTTATTGGCCATCGTACCCAAAACTATAGGTATAGGTACAAATAGCGTATACTATCCTAACTACTTAACTGCACATTATTTATTAATTATTCGGTGTTATATCGCCATGCATTATAAGAAAATACAATATATTTGTTAACTAACTTTTAGACTTTAGTGATGTTTCATTTACAGTTCATTAGACTCTACTGCTCGTGTGGGGAGCTAAGGCGTTTAGGCACTAATCACTGCTCAAACAACTAAATTGCCCATTTAATGTTTAAAATTCCTTGAACTGCCGCCGCTTATGGCTGAAATGTATCGTTTATAATACAGAATTTCCATAGCTTTTTAGGAATCTTTATAGGTAATTATAAATTATAATCAATGCCTGAAAAATCGATACTTATGTAAATTTTTCACACTATCGTGGTGGGACGATGGTCGCCATCGACATCGTACATTACTCCCTACATCGAGCACGGCTAAAATGTTATGTATGGTAATAGATTTAAGTAGTTTCCTACCTATTCCTATGCAATTTGCATGCTATTAAACCTTCGATGAGAGATATAGACTGAGATTGACTGGCTAGTCCCGTAAGTATTACCTACGTAGATACAATAAAATTCGACGCTATAGAGGAGATAACTCTTCAAGAATCGGTGGGTAGTCTGCATGTCTAGCCCAGATGTATTTAAAAAATGATGTGTAAGGTGGTAAGCCTAATAATAGTGTGCCTGCCGTGTTAGTAATAAAACATGTACTTAACTCAAAATGCCACAGCCAGTAGTTTGCCATTGGAAAATAAATTTGAATGATAATTAATTAAGTTGTTTAAATTTAATTTGTATCAAAAAAAAAAAAATGTACCTCATCTTTATTTTTACGTTGTCATAAATACTTATCAAAATGTATAAATAAATTATTAGAAATATTTGTATCATTTCCTACATTCACAACATTGTTGTAAATAATATATTATTATAATATAGACTTAAGACTGAAGAGCAAAGAGTGACCCAACATACGGAAGTCGAAACGAATGTCAATAAATTGACAATTTGCCACATAGCCTAGTACAATAAGGGAACACAATTTATCGGTAGTGTTCTGTTATTTATTTCTACATCAGTTTACCGATTTAACATGACATTGACTTCTTCTTTAATTTACCATCAGTTATTTAAAGCGATATCAAATATTATACTTATACAACATAATTGTATTTTGTAAATAATAATTAATACGAAGCTACTTAAAATAAATGAAAGACAATAAAAACCCACTACATTCATTATATTATGTTTGTATATTATATATTATATTATACCGACAAAATACAACTCATGGGGGGGGAGCAGGGAATATGCTTAACGAGTCGATTGCAATAAAATAGTATTGGTTACCTTTGAGCATAATACTATATTGTCCGTCTATAAAAAATAAAATATTATTTTTACATCTGAAATGATAAGAATTTTGTTATATATTTATACAATAATAATGTTCTTATTCCCTTTAGATTTTCCAAAAAATATTGTACTTTATGATATATGTTGTATTCCTACAACTTAAAATAAAATGCAGGTATACC